TTTCTGGTTCCCGAGTTAGCGGTTTTCCCGCCAAAACTTTAACCCTCTCGTACGCGGGGCCTAGACGTGCCTGAGAGTTGGTGCCGCGGTCCAGGGGTGGCACTTGGGTAGGGAAACCACTGGCAAAATTTCGGCGCCTGAACTTGCTTGGGTGCCGAGTTGAAATATCCGGACAGACGTACACACACGCATACACACACACACACACCGAGGTCGTCACAATATGCGTTTTTGCATTTGCATATTATGCAAAAACGCATAATGAGGACGCTACACCTAGCCGATGTCAGATGCATGCTACACCTAGCAAGAGAGATATTTTTTTGAACATGCATAAAACGCGAACGATGTAGGCTGTGAGAGAACGAAGCGTGTAGACTTTGAATTCCCCATCCCAACCCCTCCTCCCCAGCCCCGTTTTACACAAAAAGAAATCCTTTCAATACACTCAAATTAAAAGAAACATCAAAAATGTTCAAAGTCGAAACTTCCTTCATGTCCCCTCTTCTTGATAGTGAAAAGGCACTCAAAAGTAGCCCGGCAAGTGCCAGTATCAATCGTCCGCTGGCAAGGCTGCCGAGGGAGAGCTTCTCTCCACACAGGCTGTTCAGAAATATACATAGAAGAATTTTATTTATAAAGAAAAAAATACAAGAAAAACAACACAAAAAATTGGTTGCAAAATACACACGCAAATAGTGATGGGATTTTCACTGGAAATTTCGCTACAAATTACATGTACAGCGATGTAGGGATAATATGAAAAGTAATATGCTTTGATGCCTAACATTAATTTCCGTTAAGGCAAACAGTAAGAATTCTCCATCCTTTTTTGTCCATCATTTCCTATGCACTTCATCGCTCTCTGGTGAAAAGATAAAAATTAGAAAATGGATTTTTTAAAATTCAGTATCAAACTAATAGCAAGAAAACAAAACTAAGAACAGTCAGCGGTAAACTTCTAACTCTTAGATCATTCAGTGACAGGAACTTTTGCAGAAAGCTAGAAGCAAACCAATAAGGCTCCATAAATTTTTTACCTCATTTCTTCATTTTTTGCAGAAGAACACACTCTTGGATCAGCAACGCCGTAAAAGTGGAACCTCCTGTTCGGCTGATCTCGAATTTGAGGCTCAGTAGGTAAGGAACATCAACATTGGCTGGAAATAACAGCGCTTGGAAATGAGATGGTGACGCTCAACACACACCGTCGAATTTCTAAGTGGCTAAACATCAGAGGAAGTGCATCTGTAAAAAGAGCCAATGAGCCGTTCAGAATACGATAAAAATGTCAGGATCGTTAGAGGGTTGACCACTAGGCAATGCAGCACTGGTCAAAATAAACATGGTATGAACATCATAGGGGAGAGATCCGAACATGACTCAATGGAAAACCAATAGTCACCTCAGGTATTAAGTATCACAAAAGATAATGAATTCTACGTAATGCTGCATGTCAGTCAAAAACCAGAAGTTGAAACAGCTTCTCCAATTTATTGCTCCTTGTCTTTAATCAGAAAATGACGAAAATTTCTGGATTTTCTTTTCTAAAATTCAAACACTGTGGTGCACATACACTGAGCAGACGGTAGAATCAAGGGATCTGGCATAGCTGCACGTGACGTGTAGAAACACCTCAGTAACACTGCCAATACTTGATACACCTACACCGCTGCCCCACGTGGTTCTGGTATTGTCGGTATAATAAGCCGAAGCTTGTTACGGCGAAAAAATTCCGTATAATTAAATTCGTTGTGCATTAAAATAGACAGAAACTGATGATTTCCCATCGAATTATGCAACGGATGAGGAAAAAAACTTCACCCCTACTTCTGTTACAAATGCTGTGTTTTAAGAAGCGTGTGACATTCAGTAAGAAGTTCCTCAAAGGAAGCTGTGATGGATAGTGCTTCTGCAAAGGGGTGCTTTGGCTGATTGGTTTCATTTTCATTCATAGCACTTTTCCACTGATAAAACTTCCTGCGGTACTGTAGCGCTAAATCCGGAGATTTGAGGGAGCGATACGCAACTGATATTCCGTTGTAAATAAAGCCAAGTCTGGTACATCGCTCGCCAAATGTGGATAATTCTGAAAAAAAGAACATATGAGCAGCACTCTTCCCATTTTCAACTAGCTAAGAAGCGGCAAGCATTGAAAGCAGAACTGCGGGCGATGCAATCATGGGTTTCTGCACTGAGCTTTTGTGAGCATTTGGTACGCATGTTCGTCTGATCCATTCAATTTTAATGTGACACAATCAATCTGCTTGAATCTGAAGCCAGAGGCAGGACAGATATGAATTTTGAAGGCGGATTTCACTACCTGAACTAGTACTGCGTTCACAGTCTTACGCATGCTTAAAAACAATTCTTAAAATTTCAACTTTCCGGCTTTCGCAATTTGATTTATACAGCCGGACAGACAGCAATACAAACAAATAACATCCCCACATACATGGGCCAACTATAATATGTCGCCGAGGCAACGGCACTAATACAATTAACAAGCGATAGGTATCTGTTGGAAATATGCAGTTTTCAAGCGACGAATCTGGTACAGCTGTTCCCGACCAAAAGGTGCATCCAAGCAAAACATCACTAAAACTATCCGGGCGTCTCGGCCTTCCTGATTGTACATAAAGATATTCCTGGTACTTATAAATGATTTCGTCGAGATATGCAATGCAGATACCCATAAAAATTTACCGATTTGAAGACATTTCTGATAAAGAGATAACGCCTTCGCTGGATTCTTAAGCATCTTTAAATGTAGTTCAGCAAGTCGACCCAATGTAAGCGATTCTTCAGGCGTATCACAGCCGTAAACTTTTCTTTTAATTGCGATAGCAGCACCGTACATTGCCTCCGCCATCTGCAAGTAAAGTATTTTAGTTACAGCTGTTAGATTGCCCAGCCACATGCAATTTTCGGGAAGTCCGCATATGATGAATGTATCATATCATAGATAAATGCAAACAATCGAACTCACTGCTTGCTGTTATGCTCGAAAAGCGATGGCATTTCAATACCGTCCAAGCTTCTACACCGACTTCTCGGTCAATGGTAGTAATGAGATTTTCATTTCAAGTGCTCACGTGGTATTCTTTGAGTAACTTGTAGAGCTCGCCAAGAGAATGATAGGCCTCTGCGGAGTGGGCATTGTTGGCTTTTAAATTTTCAAACTTCTCAATTGCATGCCGGTGTCTTTTCAATATCTCATGCAATCTTTCCGGCTCCTTCCGGGCTACAATAGCGCGCTCCACTTCGAGCTGACCTGAAAGTGATCATGTACTGTTTATGAGGACACGCACATACTTGACCAATTCGTGAAAGGAGCGGTTTACTGACGTAGATGACCTCGGAACAAGAAAAAAATAATCGGCCAACGCACGGGCTACCCGTGCGAAGATGAGTTTTTGCATAGTCCCCCTCAGTTCTTGTCGCTACCGGCACCGGTTTTTTTCGGCAAATGTTTCTAGCTAAACAAATTAAGACTGGCCGTCAGAACTGTCAGAAAACAGCCCCTTAAAATTTCAGCTTTCTAGTTTCCCTGGCACTTGAGTTAGCAACTTACTGGAACAAAATTTTCACGGGCCCGTGCGTGTTTACCACGCATATCCGAGAGTTGGGTTTGAACTGACTGAAACTTAGGTGGACGGGTATATCCTCTTAAAATTACAGTCCTTTAGATTCTCAGGTACTCGAGTTATCAACTTACCCGAAAAAAATTTTGGCAGGCCCGTACGCGGGTACCACGCTTACCCGGGGAATGGGTTTGAGCTCATTAATATCCACATGGACGGGGAACATCCCCTTAAAATTTCAGCCCCCAAGCATTTCTGGTCCCTGAGTTAGCAGCCCACCCGTAAAAAATTTTGGCAGGCTCTTACGTGGGCACTACGCGGGTAATGGCGCCCATTTTGGAGGTTGGGCCCGTACGTGCATGTAGACCAAGTTCCCAAAGTTTCAGCCCTGCAACTTTCATAGGTCCTGAGATGAAAAGCCGTGAAAGAAGCACACACAGACGCAGACAAACTCTCGTCAATATGCGTTTTCTGCATAACATAGCTGCAAAAAATGCATGAAAATTAGGATCGCTTCTAGTTTCGTAATAAATATTACTGAGTGATTTATAAAAGTTTCACTATCGATAAGTTAGCTGGTCATGATCTGGGAATGGTGACAGAAATTTCAAATCAAGGGTCGTAGGCATTTTGAAAATAATAAGAACAAAGGAATATGAGTTCATTTTTCTGACCTCTTCTTTCAAAAACAGAGTCAGAAGAGAAAGTACGATGCAACCGTTCTGGCAGGAAAAGACAAGCAAGATAAGCAATGCAACCTAAAATTCACTGCTCCTTTCCAAAAAAAATTCTTTTCGTCGTCCCACTGACGCTTATCCGAAGATCAGGTTTTAAATATCAGCACTGTGAATTTACAAGTCTGATAACGCATGCAACTGGTCCCACAAACTGACTGTTAATAATTTACAAAGCTTTAGCCTGCTGGTAATCTTGATGATCGTTTCGTCGCCTACAAGGACTGCTAGCCTAGCCGTGCTTTCAACAGGAGCAATAAACAATATTACAACGATTTTGACATATCCTTCGTATGTGTGTTGAGCATTAGCACTTCTTCAGACCCGGAAATCGTCAGTTCTAGACCACGATGAAGCGCTTCACCGACTATGAAGAGCAAAGTATCAAGCATTTCAAAACTGTGAACTTTCTATTCACTTGTACATACATGCAACTTGCACCACCTGGAAATGGATGCTATCTAATCTGTTCGCTTTTTCATTTTGACTCATTTTCCCATTGCAGCTGCAATACTGACTAACAATAATTGGCCAACACACGGGCTCTCCGTGCGAAGATGCATTTTTTGCATAGTTTCCCGCAATTTTTGTCGCTATCGGCACTGGTTTCTTCGGCAAATGCTTCTAGCTAAACAAATTAAGACTGGCCGCTAGGACTGTCAGGAAACACCCCCTCAAATTTTCTGCTTTCTAGTTTTCCTGGCTCCTGGGTTAGCAATTTACTGGAAAAAACTTTCACGATTCCGTACGCGGGTACCACGCCTACCCGGGGGCTGGGTTTGGGCTCATTAATACCGACTTGGACGGGGAACATTCCCTTAAAATCAGCTTTCCAGCATTTCAAATCCCCGAGTTATGGCCTTACCCGAAAAGAATTTTGGCGGCCCCGTACGCGGGTACCACGCAGGCAATGGCGTCCAATTTGGGGATTGGGGCCCATACGTGCATGTAGAATAAGTTCCCAAAGTTTCAGCACTGTAGCTTTTGTAGGTCTTGAGATGAAAAACAGTGACAGACACACACACGGACATACAGACACAACTCCTCGTCAATATGCGTTTTCTGCATTGCATAGCTGCAAAAGACGCATAAAAATGACAGAATTTTTATCAATTTCCAAAAAAGATTCGTAATTTTCAGTGAGCCATGTGTGACTGATGGCTCTCTCAAAAGCACAGTTGTGTTACTGGTGAGCTGCAGTATGGCGTATTAATGGTTCTGGAAAGTAATAAGTACTAGCAGAACCTTCCAAAAGATCGGAGTAAAGACGCTGGTGGTTTTCTTCATCCAGGTTCAGTCTGTTAAATTCTGCTGCTGCATGTGCATATTTATTGCAAAAATATTGTGTCTGCATATAATCCATCCTAAAAAAGTTACTAAATGTCATAACACTTCATGTGAAATAAATGACAACTAAGTGGGCACTCAGACGGCCTCTGGAAACGTGATGCACAAACATAAACAATGACAAAAGCACAAAGTACAAACCAGAGTGTGCAAATGAATAATAAAAGGGCCTGGCATAGGTATGGAAGCAATCCAGCAATGGACAACCGCAACAACAGCCATGCTAAAGGACAGCAAGACCCACGATAAGATACAGTGACTCGTTAATTTTCCGAAGTTGAATGATAGGGAAGATGCAGAAACTTAGGAAAGAAAATCACTCAATTATTGCATCCCGTTTTAAAACTGGATGAAAAAATTTGGGAGAACGGATGTGTTTGTTTTTTTCAGTTCTGAAATACAGTGCTCTTAAATTTTCAGCGCAGAAATTTTACAGTCTCACACCCTTGTATTTGTTTCTTTATAATTTTACAGCATTTTAAGCAAGGGAGTACTTCCGAAACCGATCAACCAACTGTGCAGGATTTGCTTTCTCATAACCACTCCCGAATACGTCTGGCAGGAAGGTTCGCCAGACGTATTCGGGAGTGTTAAACCGCTAGCCAATATATATGCTATGCTAAACCGCTAATATATATACTGGCCTTTCAGAACTTCAAATTTAACGAAAAAACTGTTTAACATACGAAAAATACAAAGACCGTCCGAAATGCGGATACCCCATGCCAATAGGGGGATATTTCTGGCTAGCAATGTCAACCGCAAACTTCCAATCAGTATTTTAGCCTGACTAATTTATCTGTGTCATCTCTTTGGAGACCACCGAGTGGTTCTTTTCCTTCTCATGGACACCACACATTAATACGGGATGTCCGTCGATTGGCAAAAAAGCAAAGCAACGTTCTGCCCATCGGAGTTTACTTTCTCGAGTGGTTGTCGCTCATCTCACGGAAAATTTCACTGTTCGTATGGACACGAACGATAAGCCAAACATCTTTCACCACAAAGCTACCTCCCCACAAACCATATTTTTGACAAAGGCAGCATAAAAAAGTGCTCAGCAAAGCTTACCTGCCAATGCGGTAAAAGCCATAAAAATCGTGCAAATACTCAAATGCAGCACGGGCATAAACGAACTTCGCTTGTGCTCCATGAAGAGAATTTCTGCCGTAGTACTGTTCCGCCCGACTGAGCAATAGCTAATAATAATTCAGCAGTTAGACTGCGCAGACATCAAGGAAAACGGAAGACCAAGGTCATCTAGGTCAAAAATCAGCCCCCCCCCCCCCCCCTCCCCTTATTTAGCGTGAAAATGAAATGTTTAAAACCCATAAGAGTTCGCAGAAAATCTTTCTGCAAATCAGTTAACTGTATCTCAGCTTACTAAGAATTTTAGAAAAAAAAAAAAAGACAAAAGAAAAAAGCATAACTGCGAATTGAACTTACAATGGAGACGTCTAGAGCCATATCGACACTATCTGATTTCAGCAAGCACTCGGTGAAATCGGAGAGAACAGAAAAGAGCAGCACTTCGAGGTGTGGATGTCTGAGTACAAGCGCCAGAGCGAAACGAATGCATTTCAGTGCAAGAGCAAAATGCTTCTTGAAGACGAGGATTTTCGCTGTGACAGAGAGCAGTTCCACTTGGCCCTGCAATACACATGAATACAGAGACAAGCTAGTCAGACAAATATTCTGTTATTCTCCACACACGACAATAACTCGAGACAGAAATCCTTTAAACGAATTGCTGCACCAAACTTCAAGTTCGATTTTAAATAATTGGCCAACGCGCCGACTGTCGGTGCGAAGGTGCGTTTTTTGCATGGTTCCCTGCAGGTTTTTGTCGCTAACGGTGCCGGTTTTTCCTGCAAATGCTTCCAGCTAAGATAACTGAGACTGGCCACCAGGACTGTCTGATAAGATCTCTTTAAAATTTCATCTTCTTAGCTTCCCTGATTTCCGAGTTAGCAACTTACCCGCAAAAAACTTCCATGGGCCCGTACATGGGAACCATAAATACCCGCTGACTGAGCGTGAACTCATTAACACCTACGTGGGCGTGGAGGAACATCCCATTAAAATTTCAGTCTTCTAGCCTTTCAGGCTCTCGAGTTAACAACTTACCCAAAAAAACTTTGGCAGGCACGGACGTGAATACCACGCGGGTAAGAGCGCCCATTTTGGAGCTGAGGGCCCGTGCACGTATCTAGATTATATTCACAAATTTTCAGGTCTGCGGCTTTTGTGGGACTCGAGATGAAAGATCGGTACAGACGCACAGCGTACACACAGATACTCACACACACAGAGACAACCTCTCCTCAATATGCGTTTTCTGCATTGCATAGATGCAAAAAACGCATAATAAAAATAGCTTTATATCTGGCTCTGATGCCTCTATTAGCTGGCTATTTGGGCATTTTCCAGCCACACTTTGACTCTCATGCTTCGTTATTTATCCTTCTTGCCACATAAAGAGCCCACTCTTTCTCGCGCACACTGCCTTGAATATTTCGCCCACAACAAACCGTACTCACATTACTTTGCAGGAGATGAGCAGCCTTTTTAATTGGGAAATTAAAAAACTGAAGACAGCACGTAAGCGAAGCAACCAAATAAAAAAACAAATCAATCCGTGTACTGTGGATGCACACTCAACAAACTATTAACGGATGCAACAGAGAACCTACCTCAAGTCCTGCATTACAATTCCTCGCAACATTCACAGCTTTAAAACAAAATGTCACTGCGCTCTGGTAGTCACCCATCACGTACCTAAAAAATGCCCATAATAGCACTGCACAACCATGCTTCTCAAAGCACATCCATGTTCTTAAATTACTTTTCCGCATTTTACAACACATATATATATATACCAATCGGACTATCAGTGTGCGCGGGATTCCCCTGTTAGTCTGCATAACCTTTGGTCCTGGATTGCATACCTTCAGTTAGCATTCACCACTTGTTCCATGTATGTGCGCCACCTCTTTGGAGTTGCCCGAGCGATCATTTACTTCCTCGGGAATATCACTTACTAATGCGCATCCCCTATCTGTTGTTGGCAAAGTGGGCAACATGCCCCGCCCATCAAATTTTACTTTCGCGCATGGTCCAATGATATCCTGCACGCTGCTCTTTTGACAGAAAGTCTGATCGCGGAAAGATACACCAAGCGTCCTTCGCTTCATCGCTCTCTTCAACACAGCCAGCGCTCGGCCGTCAGCTTTTGTCAGTGAGCTTGTCCCACATTTGCATGTCACTGCGTTCAACACAGCGGTAATGATGAGGTGCGCACTGTCCTTCCGGTTCGGCATTTCGGGGACATTGGCGTTGTTGTGCCTTGTGCGTTAACCGTCAGCCTTTCGGCATACAAACTCCGGCTGGACATTGTGTCGCATATACACTTGTTGTCTGAGATAAACTTCGTCCAAGTTCACGTCGCCAACCCCGTAATTTTGTTGCGGCATATCTTGTGTCATCTTCGTTTTCGATGCATTGATTTCCAGGTCCGCTTTCTCACTTCGTGCACTGAGCTTTTACAGAATTCCGTTTATTTCATCGCAGTTGTTGACAAAAAAAAAAAAATTATGCTATCCGCGAAGCACAAATGATTTAGCTGCTCACCGCCTATCTTCAGACCGCCCTTCTAATCCCATTTCCGAAATAACATTTCAAAGCACGCGCTGAAAAGCTTAGGCTGTATAAGATCAAATCGCCTTATTCCCTTCGAGATTGGTATATAGACTGGTGGTGTTATGTCATTCGATCAGCCTGTATTTACTTACTGAACGATTTCTACATCGTTCTTGTTCATCCCTCCATTTACAACAGCTCGCAATACTATATTCAGCTCTACGCTATCGAATCTTTTTTCGTAATCGACGAAAAGGCGACAAAAAGAGGAAGCCGGTATTCCCTTGCACGTTCCAGCAGCTGATTCAAAGTGAACATGTATGTGCTCTAATCGCTTCGGAATTCAGCTTGCCCATCGGCTCTTATTCATCGAAGGTCTTATTATTCGGTGAGTGATGATTCTTGTAAACAGTTTGTAAACATGAGAAAGTAAGCAGATCACGGTCACTCAATAGATCAGGCGGTCACTTTTTTAGCAAAACAGTTTTCGACTCTCTGCAATTGCTAGGTATTTTTATGCGGTTTTTGCATTTATGAAATGCAAAAACGCATACTGTCGAGGGGTTTCTGTACCTATGTGTGTCTATCAGTGTATGCCTATGCATGCGTCTGTACCGATTTTCATCTCGAGACTTACAAAAGTTACAAGGCTGAAACTTTGGCAACTTTATTCTACACCTATGTGTGTGCCTCCATCCTCAAAATGGACGCTCATGTTCAAGTGGTTCTCACGTATAGCGTGTGAAAGTTTTCAGCGGGAAAGCGATTTCGGAAACGGAACAAGCTAGAAGGCTGAAGCTTCATGTTCCCTGGCTATGTCCAACCCAAAGATTTTTTAAATTCAGTTTTCAAACATCCCAAGGTTTTCGCATGTAAACGTCAAAGTTCAAACTAGATTTAAGCTGACCTAAAAGTTGCAAAGAGTGCAATTTTAGTGCCGCTAATTTCTTCACACGCTCATCGTGGGGTAACGCTACCCGCCATCACGAAGAAAACTTTTTTCGCGACTTGTGCATGACGCCGATCGAGCCGAATTCTAGTAACTGTCTTTTTTTCCGTCTTGTTTTTGCCCCACCTTCTAACCTATTAAAAAAGTTTTTAAACATACATAATCCATCTTGAATTGGTCATTAGCAGGTCACTTACTAATACAGTAGACCCTGCAGTGCTAGTACTGTCTGCCTACTTTGTAAAAAAAATACAATTTAAAAAATGGCAAAAGAACTGACCACAACGAAGCGACTTGAGCTTGGACACGTGTGAAATCTACTACGAGTGATGTAGAGATAACGATATCTTTTTTCTGTCTACCGATGAGAATATCAGTATACGAAGTGATGCGCATTGCCTCAGCAAATGAACATCTGCTCACGTAGTATTTTAATAACCTAAAAAAGTAAGAAACAGCACTGCGAAATGAGCTGCACTAACAATCGGCTTTAAATTTTTCCCGAACCAAAATCTGTAGCCCCAGTGTCAGTGTAATGGCCCATCCCTAAGCTAAACCTCTGAAACTTATTATATCAAAGGTTTTAATCACAAGGTCAATCAAGCCCCACCATAACTGCAAAATAAGGCCTTTCGCAACAAAAACGCGCCACATCCACAATAAAAAAATCGATAAAAGTACCAATAATACACTTCGAACAGTTTCTGCTGACGCTGCGCATAATCGGCGAAAACATCATTCAAGATTTTCTGACAATCACATAGAACTATACCGGCAAAAAAAGATGAATTGCGCTCCATCAAAAAAATAGCTGAAAAATGTTCACAGGAAAAGACAAACTCAAAAAATTTTACTCTCAGCGTTCAAACCAGTCCTTGGCTAATGTGCGACACAACATAACGGCAAATTGGTATGTAACAGAAAGTCAAAGGCGCGTTTGTGAACAATTCTGGAAGAGGGGACCTCTGACGGCCGACAGCAAGTGACTGCTGTTAGAAAACTGTCAACTGTTAATTCTGGATGCCCTCACCCCATAGGACAGCGAAGTAGGTAGGCCTCAACAGAAAAGAGGAAATTCTGCCCCTAACTTTCTAGGGATCAAGTTAACGTTACTGGAGTAAATAAGTTAGGAAAAATAACAAAACAGCATCATTTATGCTTTTCAAATCCTC